CTGTGTGGCTTGGGTCGATCCCTGCGCGTCTGCCCCACGGCCTGACGGCCGGGATGTGCCCCGGCTGGGAGCGGGGTGGCCTCGTACCTCTCGAGACCTCGCTTGCCCCGTGCAGAGCTGGTCAGAGACTTGTACCGGGACAGGCTGCAGGGAAGCGCCGTCTGAAGTGACTTATTCTAACGGCCCAACTGGAGGATTTTCCCCTCCGCCTCAGTTTCTTCTCAGAAGTAGGTTTGATGCGCAGCGTACAAACTTGGAAGGCGTCCTTCTTGCGGTTGAGGAATCTTTTTTAAAGATCTTTAAATCTGAAGTGCTAAATGTAAAAGTCTGACTTCTCTTTTGATTTGGTGATTTATTGGGTGAAGTTCCATAAAATGTATTTTTGTAAGCGCTGCAAACAGAAATGCATCTGCATTTGCCATCAAAGCTCTGGTTTTGTTTGCCTCATCATCTGCTGTAATAGAGATACTACTTCTCTCTAGAGATGTCAATGGATTGATGGTGCTGTCAAGGTGAAGAGGTTTCTGTCACTGTAATGGGACTGATTGTCCCTCCAGAGCAGTTCAGTGCTGGATCATGCTTCATCAGGCCTTGTGTTTGACTGCTTTGGCGACGTTGTTCTTCAGTGCATCACGTGTGCTGTTCTGTCTCAGCGTATTCAGATTTTGAATGGGGAGTGGTGTGAAACTCATTTCTGAAGTTTTATAAAACGTGAGCCACGTTGCAAAGATTGGGTGCTCTGGCTGTGAATTGAAGTGTACAGAGCATAAACTTGCATTTTTCAGAGCAAATATATGTCCATATATCCTGGTCTTCAGTGAAAGAGAACAGTTATGTTGTAATTAAGAGATACTCTATAAGGTATTTTTGTTATTTCTTCACAATAAATGTGGAAAAAACACAGGAAAAATTGTGGTTATGAAATAAATTAGTTTCTTTTCAAAATAGAATGGAAATTACTGTTTTCATTTACGTGACCAAAAATGTTACTGTAGCAGAGTCACAGGTAATGTCTTTGTGTGGTATTTGATGTGAACTTCCCATTTGAAGTCTGCTATTTAATAAATAAATATTAAACAGTAACTGAATGCTATACACACAGTAGGCTGTTTACATCAACATGCAGTTAATTCTGCTAATAGTCAGTAGCTTCTAAAATAGCAAACTGCAGAATCCTTCCATGTGTGCTGACGAACTGAGAACATCCACTCTTGCATTTCAAAATTACAGTGTGTCAGGAATTTCCTACAATTTCCAGAATATAGGAGGGCAGCAATTTTTAAAAAACCCCACTAATTATATTAATGAATTTTAAACATTTTGCTGTCAACTGTCTTGTTCCTCTGATTGTCACAGTTTGACTCAGGTCCGACAACAATGCTCTCGATCCCTCCCTCCCCCCAACCCACGTAGGGAAGGAGAGAGAGAAAAAGAGAGAGACTTGGCTGGATTGAAAACTAAACTACACAGCTTTAATTAAAACACTAATGAATGATACAAGAAAATATATACAATTATATACAAATATATTCAGGAATGGACAAAAAACCTCTCGCCTCCCCCCACCCCAGCAACTCCCACAGCACTTCCCTGAACTGGGAAGAGTCCCGAGGAATCCCGAAGCTGCTGCTGGAGAAAGCAGAGAGTTATGGGGGTCACAAGAGATCAAGCCTGAGGATCGACGGTGATGGATGAACAGAGTCCTCCCTCTACGCCGGCCATGGACGGAAGAGAAGGGAAGAAAAAGGAAGGAAGTTGTCTTCTGTGATCTCTGACCTTCCTCTGAGCTTACGTAGATATATGGAATGGTATATCTTTGGCCAATTTTGCTGTCTGTCTAACTCAGCCTCCTACGGGGGGGGTCACAGATCTCCCCATAGTGTCTGAGCTGGCAGAGTGCAGGTGCAGCCTTGAAGCCTCAGTAGTTAGAAAAACATTCCACTGTCTTATCAGCCTAGCAGAACACACTGTTGCTAGTTACAAGAAAGCTTGCTGAAGGAAAAAAAAATAATCAGTAAAAAGAAAAATTGGCTTCATCCTGGCTCAAACCAGGACACTGATATATATTTTTGTAGCTAGAAGTAGGTGACAATATTTGTTGTCATAACGGTAGAAGCCAAGCTGCAAAGGAGCTTGTTATTGTTGCTAAAGCATTGTGGAAAACATTTAGTTTCACCCCTCATTAAAAGTAAACCGGAAATAAGGACACTGCCCAGTTTCAAACAAGAAGAGGTGTTTTTGTTCTTTATCTTGCTTCTGTGAGGTATTGGAATATTTTAACTACTTCGCTTCTTTGTTTTCCAATACCAGCATAATGTGAGGCTGGAATAATCGTCCCTGTAGGGTCCCTTTTTACCAGAATTGGACTGTTGACTTATTGTCTGTGCATGACCTGAGGAGATAAGGGCAGCACAGAGTCAATGTAGTGTAGGAGGAAACAATATAGTGTAGGAGGAAAAAAAACACATTAGTGTATTTCTGAGCTACATTTTACAGGATGGGGTCTTCAGTAATGTAATTTCATGACTGTTTGCATATTCTTTGAGTATAAATGGTGATGTATACATAGAATTTTAATATTACCTGTGGGGGTTGGTATTCCTCAGTGTTTGTATTTTATTTTTTTCATTCTGTTTTTATATCTGAGTGTGGATCTGCTTATTAGTTGCCACTCTGCGTTTTAAAAGACAGAGATGCTTACCCTTATAGGTAAGAAAAAAATAATTACGTGTTATTATTTCTTTGTTATGGAATTGTGTCATGATGTAATGGGACCTAGTCTTGTGCTTCTTGAATTAGTATTATAACTTGTAATAGCTTCCTGTGAGTATGTGAAGTCTTTAGCTGATTTTTGGCAGTCAGGTACCTAATTAGGTCTCCTGTGATAGAGCACACTGCTGCTGGATGGCTGCAGGTTGTTCTCTTGGAATGGCATTTGGCAAGTGCCATGGACTACACCATCATATTGCCAAATACTCAGAGTTCTTAGCCATGCAATTATTGCTATTCCAAACCTTAAGCCAGGCAGGAAGTTAAAGTCTGGTGTCAAGTGGCAAACAGAGGGATGGTCTACTCCTGTTGTACATCTGACCCAGACTGTAATGGTCCGTTGTAATGGTTATGTTCTTCTGGAATATTTTAGGTTATATTATTTTAGAAACAAAGGTAATGTAGTAGGTAAAATGGTTTGCATTTAGTAGGATTAGAAATTGGGACGCCTGTTCTAGTGAGTGTTGAGTTTTATGAAATAGCTGGTGAAAAGAAGGAAAAAGAATGGGGGAAAAGGCAATTCTAATATACTTTAAATCCAAGAGGGCTCATGACAGTAATTTATGATGTGGTGTGATGCTGCATAGAGTTCTCACAGAAATTTGTGTCTATACAGAAAATGTTCTTTTTTGTAGAGGTAGTGAAGTCAGAGACCATTAGAGGTGAAAAGCTTAGTAGAGGAGCTGGTGTATGCTGTCTTCACAAATTGACTGAGGAGTATAAGCTTTCAGTTTCCAGCATGTTGCCTGACATTGAAGGGTTGAGTGGTAGAGCTAGACTAGTGTCTGAGAACATGGTGTGTCAGTAGTTGAGTAGGTGGAGGAGACCATATACTAGCAGTTGGTGAATCCAATATAGTGAAAACTGAAATACTGCTTGCTGATCATACACACACACACAAACAAAAAAAACAAAAAACAAACAAACAAACAAACAAGAATGGGAGTGAATTATCCATATAATACTAGTTTGGTTATAGAGCAGCTCTGGTCTTCAGACTGCACAGATTATTTACTTCCTGATGTCTTATGAGTAAAGTCTAATGTTTGCATTTTTTTAATTAAAGTTTTTAACAGCCGAAGAACTGAATTTGATTTGCAATTTAGTAATTATACTATACTTCCCTTTTCATGTTTTTGATCTCACTAGGTTGGCAGCCTCGGTGGTTTGTTTTAGACAATGGGATATTGTCATACTATGATTCACAGGATGATGTTTGCAAAGGGAGCAAAGGAAGTATAAAGATGGCTGTGTGTGAAATAAAAGGTAAGAATCAATAGATTTCTGCTGATGGCAAGGCATTGTCTCACTCCATTGCTTTCAACTCTTTAGCTCTTCCCAGGTGCCTGCAGGTGACTGGGCTTGCGTAGGTACTTATATATTAAAAAGTGAGACTTCTTATTTAACATGGGCCACCAAGTATTTTTCGTGTGGTAACTCCTTTTTGCGATTGTTTCCTTAGTATAGATGAAATCAGTGATGCAATGTGAAAGATCCAATTTTTTTGTCATTCCAGTTCATTTTACTTGCCATCTTGTTCTTTTGGTGAAGGAAAGATAGTAGTTGAAGTCTAGAGTTGATGCAATCTCCTGCATCCATGTCTAGTGGAGAGTGGGTCAACTGTGGGTGGTAACATGAAACTTACCAGAGTGTTCAGTTGAAGATATAGTGTTAAATGGACTGTAATGAAAGTCCACCTCAGTTCTTGGTTCTAGGACTCTGTGGTCCCAAGCCAGATTTTTACCTAGAAGGAAATTGTTTCAGTTTTAGCATAGTCCTCTGTAAATACCTGTCCTTGCAACAAAACTCTTCACTTTTCTGTGTTTAGACCAGGTTTAGAATGACAGTATATTTTTAATGCAGAAAGAGAACCCCATTGTGCTTGAATCTGGCCACTGTTCCAGGTCTTGTGCTCCTACCTGCTGACTTAAAGACATGCTCAGGAGAAGGGTTGAGCAGCTTTGGGCTTTTTGTTATTTAGCATTGGTACATTGTGATATACTGTATTATTATGGGATTTTAGTAAATGTTTTAAAATACTTTCAGCAGTGTTCAATAAATAATTATGACTGAGCTCAGGTTACTTTTTTCCTTCTGATCATAAGTTCATGCAACAGACAACACAAGAATGGAGTTGATCATCCCAGGAGAACAGCATTTCTATATGAAAGCAGTTAATGCAGCCGAAAGGCAGAGGTGGCTGGTAGCACTGGGGAGTGCAAAAGCCTGTTTAGCAGATACCAGAACAAAAAAAGAAAAAGGTATGTGTATTGTCTAGAGAATATACAATCTTACCACTTTTTCAAATGCTTGTTAGTTTTCAGATAATTATAGTGCAAATATTGTGGTAGAAAGTCAGTATTATTGCCTTTAATTATTAAATTGAAATTATTTCTATTAATCTGCATGATAAATTCCCCTTTGGTGTTTGAATTAGAGGTCACCTCCATTGACCTCTTCTATCTTAATAAGATGAAATGCCCACAACTTACTGTCATTACAAGAAAAAAATGTACTGTTTGTAGCTGTAGTTATCTAACTAACTGTAGCATCAGTTATCCAAAAGCACAAACTATTGCCTGCTTCAAGTACAGGTCTTGACTCATTGCAGAATCCTCAAAATGAAGTGCAAGTGAAAGTGAATTTTTAACTTGATATTTAAATTTAAATGGAAAGTAGTTAAAATTAAAAACATGTACATGCATTGTATGGAAGAAATTGATATTTGCTTCTTTTTTTTTCAATAGAAATAAATGAGACAAATGAATCTCTTAAAACCAAAATGTCTGAACTTCGTCTCTACTGTGATCTTTTAATGCAGCAAGTTCATACAATACAAGAATTTGTTCACCATGATGAGACTCGTTCTCCTCCCAGCATTGAGGTAAAGCATTTCTTGAATGCCATTGGGGAACCTGGCTATAAAATAAACCTCAAGTTTCTGTTAACATTTTATGCCTTTTTCATCTCCCTAGTGTTGGGAGATTTAACCTAAGGTCCGTTTTTGAGTGCTTGTGTGTATATAATAGTAACAGTGATTATATGTGCATAAGGTACCTGGTTTTAACTCTTAACTGTGATATGCATTGTAAAGCAATTGTGTCATTGACTTATTTGGTTAAAAGGTCAGAAGAGCTGCCATGAGAATTATGCAATAATTTGTCTTGTTTAGTATCTCTGTTATGGGCTGAGTAGTTGAAACAGTCTTGTTTGTCCATTCCCTCTTTCCTTGTGCAGGAGGGTATTCCATTTTGTAATCAAGTAAAGCTAGTGTTACAGGTATTGGAAACCCACAGGGTAAACAAGTCTCCCTGAATATGCACAAGTAAAATTACTCTGGTATTTCTGCTTTGGAATGAAAGTTAGTTCTGGAAGTTATGAATGGCTTCATTCTTTACACTCTTCAGCAGCATGGGGACAGTATTGTTGTCCCTTTAGGGCAAAGCAAGAGGTTGATACTTAGTCACAACACAGCAAATTGTTGTCAGTTTACAGCAAGGTGAAATTGACCTGCAGGCTTCTTGCACTGGAGCAGTAAAGCTGTTTGCGCATTCTCCTGCAGTTAATATGTTTACTGAGTGATCTTCTGATATCCTAGTCACTGTGAGACAAGCTTTGCAGTAAAAACATTACGGCATTTTTGGCTGATATCCTAAAGAAATTCAGATGTCAGAAAGAAGTTACAGTGTTGTCACATTTGCTTGCTTGAATTTAACTCACTGGAAAGTGTACATTTGATTAAATAAAATGGGAAATTGAGTTTCTTGATGATAATGAGAAATTATTGTGTGTGGGAATGGTGCTGGGGAAGAATTGTCTTCCTACTTTTTTTCTTGCTTATGCTTGTGCTTTCATTTATTTGCAGAACATGAATGAAGCCTCTTCCTTGCTTAGTGCCACATGTAATACATTTATCACAACACTCGAAGAATGTGTGAAGATTGCTAACACTAAGTTTAAGCCAGAAATGTTCCAGCTGCCTCACCCTGATCCCTTAGTTTCTCCTGTGTCTCCATCACCTGTCCAAATGGTTTAGACATTTTGAAATACTCTTTCTGTTCAAATGTCATGTTGTTGGTTGGTGGGGGAAGAATTGCAGAAGACTAAACTATTGCTATGTGCTATGATGTTAGCAGCTGAAATCTTGACTCTGTTAGGATCAGTACTGGTTCTAAGTATAAATCAATGATTTCCCATTCCCAGTCTTTGTTTACTAGACTTTACATAATCAGAGTAATTTATCATACATGTCAAAACTCTGTAATGAGGTATCTCATAAAGGGTTGACGTTTAACTTTTTCTTGGTTCAACTGTTTCTTTGTTTTTTAGAAATCTGGCTGTACACTGACCTTAAAAATTTCATAACCTTGCCTCCTGGGTATACAAATAAGTGCTTGAAGCACTTCAGCAAGATAGCATGTCTTTCAGTGTGTGTAATTCAAAATGTTTGTATTAATATGACATGCCTTTATTTAACATAAAAGTAGGTAATGATAAAGATAATAATCACATCACTCTTCACTACTGATTATTTCCCTTAGAAGGGCAATGTATGTGGAATCCTCTTAGGTATCTTCTCAGTCATATATGTGGATTCCAAGATCAGCTGTATTGTGGGATTTTGTTGTGGCAATTTCTTTGCACTTGTAACTCTCATGTCTTTATCATCAATCAATTTACTTAAAAGCTGATCATTATTGGTTTAAAGTAATACCTTTTTTTTTTTTTGACAGTGATATTGGAAAAATAAAGAGGCAGGATTTGGCTTTATTGTGCAATGGGGAATTCAAGCTAGCATTTGGTAGAGGAAGAATGTCTTCATATTTCTGTGTATCATAGCAATTAACAAATTGCTTTGGAGCAAGAGAGAATTAATTCCATAGAAACTAGGTAGTGTTTTTTGTAATAAGTTGTTTCCTGTGTGAATGCTTTGAAACTTCTAATATTGATGATAATCCATCTGTTTTTATAGAGTTAAATCAGATTTTTAGCTAAAAACAGTTGCTTTTCATTAAAAGAAAGACTGTCATCTCTCTTTATAGAGACTATAAAAAAGTAAAACTTAATGTAGGTATGCATATTGTTCTTATAAGTAGCTTATGACATTTTTGGTGTGGTTTCATGTGTTGTTGTTTTTTTCCTAGATGAAGCGTTCCATTAGCCACCCTGGTCCTTGCTATTCAGAAAGGTAATTTTCTGTGTGATTAAGCTTTTTTCTGATGTCTCAAAAACCCTCCCTGAACCTGCTATCTTTAGAAAGTGAGAAGAATTGTTTACTTGTGGAAAAAAAAAACACAACAACATAAATTTATCTAATTTTGAAAACTAAGAGTGCACATTATCTGTGTCAGTAGAAATTAATGCAGCTACTGTTTCTTAATACACTATACAAATGGCTTCATGCTGGAAACATTATGCACACTAGAATGTTGTTGTACATACAAACATTTTATTACATCACTATTCCTATGTTCAGGTTTTATAATTGTAAAAATGAAGAATGATATGCTCAGTGTGCCTTTTCTGATTTAGTATAGTGAAAACCATTGATAAGAACAGTTGAAGCAGCAGAATTACTTTTAAAGTATTTTAAGTTTGTGTGGGTTGCTGCAGAACTTGCTTACTAATAGATCTCATTTCTTTTGTAGGAATAATCACTCTGTAAAAGAACCAATTTCATCCCTTCACCGATTTTCACAGCAGCGCAGAAGAACATACTCAGATACAGAATCTTGCAGTGATGCTCCCTGTGAAGATTCTCAGAGTAAGTTTGGTAGAGAATGATTTCCTGTTGTACCTGTACAATTGATTACCTGTTTACAGCAGTGGTTCTAGAGCTGATGTCAGCATGAGGAAAGAAGGTTTGGGTGTGAGATTCCTGTATAATAAATAAAAGCACTTGTGTAGTTTGTTGTGTGGCTGAGTTTTGCTGATTTTAATTAATATTGCAAAGGATCTTGCAGCTGGAGTAGTTGTATTGAAATCAGTGGGACTACTGGCAGTATAAGATACGAGATGTAACCAGAAAAGGGATGTTTGTACTAATAGACTCCTACATGAACAGTATACTGGTAGGTGGAGTGGAATACTGTTGTTTGACTCCCACTACTTGTCACAAAACAAATTTTCCTTTCTGTGACCCCTGTGAGTGGCCGTGAGTAATTTCTACCCAGTGCATTGCAGAAAGATGGTTCATTTCAGTAGCTGCTTGCCTTTAGAGAACAGCATCGCTCTGAAAGAGTGCAGCTTTGCCAGCAATTAATAAAAACAAAACAAAAAAATTAACAGAATATAGAATATTATTCCCTCCTGATTAGATAGCTAGTAGCAACTTCCTGTGATTTTTCCTTTTGAATGTTGTGGTCATTTTTACTCCCATCTGACCTCCTCTCAGGGAGACTTTAACTTGATTAGTTCTTCAAGGCTAGTACTGGCTTAGTCTTGCTTCCTTTAGGAGTGCCTAGTGCCTCACTTGGATTTAAAAAAAAACAACAACACACCTGAGGCCTGTATACGGTTGAAAGCCTGTGTGAGCAGAAAAAGGTACTAATGTTTTACATTCTATCATGAAATAAGTATCTGCGCCTCTGCATTTTTTAATAATGTAATTATAGGAAATATTTTACACAAATGGTCATTGATGCATCAGTTCGTGAATCTGAGGTGCAGACATATTCTGTAGAAGGAACATATGAACTTTTTACTGTCCTTCATAATGTAAATATCATTGTGTGTATGAAAAAAAAAAAGGCTTGATTTATACCAGCTGAACTTTTTTCATATCCACCATCCTTGAGTGTGATACTGATTTAAATCTTTCAGGAAAAGTCCAGAGTATTTATGTCTGTGATTGCCTTCATATAGGAAATAGCTAGCAGATAGAATAACTGGCAGATGGGAAGAGGTTTTTGGGGGTTGAAAATTAAATACTTACTGGTATTTTCTTAGGATCTGCTCACTGTTCTAGAAGTGCTGTCAATGGAGATCTGGTATCAGCAACCATTCCTGAAGAAAACAGATCAGTATCAAAGGAAAGATCTGAACTGGAAGAGACTCTTTCATCCTTTTCTTCTTGAAAAAACCGAAAGTATTCAGTTTTCTATAAATAATGCTATGCAAAAGCTGCTGTACTTGTACTGTTGTTATAGGAAGTAGTGATTTCCCTTTTTAGAAGGATTTCTCTGCACTTTATAGAATAACAAAAACTATCTTTGAAGTGTATTTTATCTTTGTATAGTTTATTTGCAAGAGTATTTTCCTAATATTTCACAGTTTGAATGTGCATTTTTTTGAACAAATGGCGGCTTAACAGATAAGCATCCACATTTGTAAATGTAGCTCTTTTTAAAAGGTGTGAAGGTCTGACTGATAAGTTAGTACACCTGCAGGTTATAAACTTTAGCAAAAATATTTCTTTTTTTTTTGTTTGTTTTTTTAGAAAATGCAATTTGTGCCATGGGTCTCTTGGTCATTTGTACCAGGTCATCCACCGGGAGCTGTGATTAGTCTTGAAATGGCTTTTTTTCCTGTATAAGGGCTGTGGGAATGGGCACTAATGAGTCTACTCTAGCAGCTTGATGGTAATTGTCATTGCCTTCTTTAAAAACACAAGGATATACATAATCCAGTCCTTATTTTTAGCCAATAAAAGTAGAAATATTTAGTGTATTTTTCTAAACAAATGTATAAAAATAACTTAATATGAGGCATTTGTACCAAACATTGGATATTTAATAATTTTTATTTATTTATTCTCTTTTTGCATCAAAAATTTCTACCTACTTTCACTACTAAAGATCTAAAGATCTACTAAAGGCTTCAAAATGTGCATAAATCATTTCTGGGGTGTGTAGCATCACAAGTAGCTGATTCAGCCCTGGTAAGATTGCTCACTTAAGATGTGTTTTTAGCAAAGTATTATAGAAGCAAAAGCTGAACTATTAGGCCATTAAGCTGCTGTTGTAATGAATATTTGTATCTATACATTTTATTTATATTATTTATACAAAAGGGAGCTTCTCGTTTTGCAACTCCTTTGGATCAATTGAGGGTGGTATACACCAGGAGACAGATTCTGCTCTCAGTTACATCAGTGTGAGTTTGCTTTAACTGTAAGTGAGGTTGGAGTCTGTCTCTTAATAATTAATGAGTAATATAGTGTAACAGTGCCTACCAGCACTGTTAGAGTTGGCATTGTAAGCTTTTGGGCATTTTTTGGGGTGTTCATGTAAGGATAAACTTGGTCTTTGCTGTAGAGCACTTTAAGCAAGCCATTTACTGGTTTTGATTTACACAATTGTTAAATACACATACAGGGTTTTTTGCACTCAAGCACATACCAAAATCCCTTTTTTTTATAATCAGATCTTCTTTAATTTGGTGTAATGAGTCTTCCTTTTGTGTATATGAATAATTTGGTAGTTTTGAAGCAGGCTGGGAAGGACAGATGGGAGTGGAACGGAAGCTTTCCTGATCCATTTCTAGAACGTTGATTTGTCTAAATCAACATAGGTCTAAATGTTGAGGAAAAACATACAAACTGTTACCCACACATAAAACACCAGTTCATAAACCATTATGTCAGGGTTGAATGGAATGGTTTGTACAAGTAAAGTTACTTGTGGATACCAGCTTGGACCTGTCATTTGTGCTCAGTTCTGTCAGTTTTCGTGCAACTAGCGCTTGCATTGCCTATCAGCCATGCACATGCTTGTACATTTTTTTCTGAATGTTTACTTTACTGTATTCTGTATGACATGGTAATTGTAAAAATAAAGTTGTTCAGAGGTGTAAAATGCATATTGCAGTGAGTGTGCTGTCCTGAATCATATGCTGTTTTTTGAGATTTCACTGAGGTTTCTGCCAGCTTCTGCAGTGTCACATTAACAAGTATCTGTTTCTGGCTTTCAGCAACTATGGAGAAAATAGTTTGGATTCCTGTGAAGGACCAGGAATTTCCTTACACGAACATGAAATGTCCTTTGAGTCAACAGACAAAACTGACTTAAAAATGGCGTCTCCACGCGGCGCTGAACCCTCTGTGTGGGGGGGGGG